TGTCATATAAGCAGCAAATTCTTACTTCTTCAGCAGTACAAATCATTAAAACACATTTGATAAGCTGATAAAAGCATCTTCATAAAGCTCAAAACAGGGCTGTTTTTCTTAGCTTAATGGGAGTTGACATTTTGGAGATAGATGCAGTTGTCACACTTCTGCTTTTGAATTATAAAATCTCATATAATAACTTGTATTTGAATGTTTCTCCTTCACAGCGTCTTCTCCAATCTTTGCACCTTTAGTTTTTTTATTTTCAGACAATAAATTTAATCTGAGAACACTTCCAGCAAAACCCAGAACACCACACCACAAAAAATCAGAGGTGAATAAAGGACAAAAGGGCCTAATTTCCTGAATAGAGTGAGTGCGACTTATCGGAGACAGAATCTTCTGGGCAGAGCCGGGGCAAATGAAAGCAAGGTGAGATTGAGTCAGGTTTAGATTACAGGCCGATGTCTGCAGCACTGAGGCTGTACAGTAATCTCTTAGGACTGATTGGCTGTAACCAGGAGTGACAACTGAACTGATGCTATCTTGGTTATTTCTACTGAGGCGGCATTGAGGCAGGAGACAGGAGGGGCAGGAGGGCGTGACGGAGCAGAGCTGACATGCAGTTACTGTTTTCAGATGTTGTGCTCTGACCGAGCAACAGGTGACAGAGTGCGTCTCTGTGGGGGGAAACAGGGATTTCCTTCAGCGTGAGTCATGGGTAGCAACAACAACACACTCAAAAACATGAATATGAAACTGTGCAGGCACACAAATACACATGAGACCTCGCTGTCACTGTGTCTTCCTCCTCTCAAACACACACACGCATGCACACACACAGATGTGGAAACATCATTTAGACCATCGAACAGTACGACAGAAACCAAAACAAATGAAATTTTCAGTTTGTTGGCAGCTTCTTAAGGCAGGGTGTCCCATCTTGCCTATTATGACAGGGGAAACTCTGACACACACACACACACGCACACACACACACACACACACACATATGTGAGTACGGGACACATGCAAACACCCAATATGTCAATGCCCACATGTTCTGTTACCACAGCTTTGTGAATGTTATTTTGCATGAGCGCTTTATTGGAAAATTTGCAGGAAAATTGTACATCGGTGAAATTAAATACTTAAGCTCTTTGTGGCAACAACATTCACCGCTCTGGATTTATGAGTTTGATCGTTAAAACTGTTTCTCAGAGCTTTGCTTTGGCGCAAGTAAAATAACAATAAAAGCATATTAAATTTCCAGCTCTACACGTGAAAGCTGAGATGAGTTGAATCTTTTTTTAAACATGCAAATTAGTGTTTTTGCATCTTGTCATATTTGTATGTTATTAAACGCGTTACGCCCTTTCACCCCAGAGATTAATGATGCCTCTACTTGTCAACTGTATCTATTTATCTATTTGTTTAAACAGAGACCAGCTGTAGAGAAGACCCAGTATGATCCGTAGGGAGCCCACAGCTTGCAGAGTTAATGAACTGGTGGCACAGAGGCAGCTTGGATAGAGAGGTGGAAGGATGGAGGGAAGCAGAAGGGGGGGCAGTGTTGTGGAAGCCTGGCTTAAGGGTGTTTCCATGGTAGGATTGCCCAGGAATCTGATGCTGGTGCCAGACGCGGGGAAACCCTCATCAAAAACAAGGGAGCACACCCATCGACAGCGGTCCAGAGGCTGCACATGGCCCCAAAGACAGTCAGATTCAGAGTTGCTGCTGCTGACCAACACAAGACTGTACAACTGGTCACGTCTCTCTTTGCTGCTGTAAAGCTAATCCTCCAAGCGACTGAAGTTGTAGTTTCATGGAGGCAGAAGTAAACTCATTGGTTGGAGCTAAAGAACTACAGTTACTGTGACTGAGCTGAGCAGGGACGGGCTTGGACTGCTGTGAAAAACTGGTATGAGAGGATAAAAAAGTGTATTCTTGATTTCGGAAAAAGCAGACTGACAAAAAGGAATCTTGACTTCCACTTATTAGTTGTTTTTTTTTAAACATCTCATGATCTTCCTCAGTGGATACAGCTTGAATTATCATTATTATAGGATTTAAATTATGATTATTAGAAGGTCAAAGTCATAGAAATAACATCTTTGGCCAGCATATTTTCACATCTGAGTCAGTGAAACGTACCAAGTTGGTTACCAACCAAACCTGAGTTGGTGATTGTCGGAACAGTGGGAAAGTTTCTCTCTTTCACCAAACTAAGACTGGCTTAATTGCCATGACTCACCAAAACCATCCTGGTTAACATGAGTCAACTGCCAACGATGGAGGCCTGGTTGAAAAATAAAAACACTCCTGTGTTTGTTAATAATTAGAGGCCAGCTAATTAGACTAACTAACCAGCTGAATGCTTATCAGAGTGTGAACTGCAGAATTCGAACTTGTTGAGGCTACCAAACAGCCAGCTTTAAAATATTGTGAAAAACAGCAATCCAAACAGAAAAGCCACAGAACTAGTCTAAGGTAATATCAAAGTTGAATCTCTGATAACCATAAGGCTGCTAGCTAGGCTGAAATCACAGAAATAGCGTGTACATCTTGCATATTTTCACATCTAACTCTCTGTACTCTGTACACATGACATTGTACGTCTGTCCATCCTGGAAGAGGGATCCCTACTATTTTTTTGGGAGGAGAGTTTAACATTAGTTTAATTGCCTTGTTAACTCATTATAAAACACACTTTACACTCAATAGAAACAAAACAGAACTCACCAAAACCGTCTTGGTTAATGTTAGTCAGCTACCAAAGATGGAGGTCTAGTTCAAAAATAAAAATACTCCTGTGTTTGTTAACACCTGGAGGCTAGCTGATCAGCTTAAATAACTAGGCTAATGTTTATTAGATTTTGAACTTAAAAATTAAAACTCGGTGAAGCTACCAAATAGTACCCATCTTTAAATTATCATGAAAAATAACAATCCATTCAAGCCAGAAAATGACTCCTAATTCCAAAGATTTGTTAGCCTAGCATAGCATCAAAGTTCAATATCTGATAAGCATAGGGCTAGCTGGTTAAGCTAATGAGCTTGCCTCGAATATTAACAAACACAGAGGTATTTTTATTTTTTAACCAGACCTCCATCTTTGCTTGCTGGCTTACGGGTGCTCGAAGTACGGTCCTTTGTCTTTTTAAAGGGACAATATGTATTTGTTTTATTGCTCCCAGAGTTCTCTAAATCAAAATAATAACAAAAAACAGAGAAATACCATCACTGATCTGTTTCTCCTGGTTAGGATTCTTTCAGTGTTTATTGGTCAGGAGGTTTTTACAGGGAGCCAAATTATCCACAGAGGTCTCCTCCTCTTCAAAAGAAACAGAACTGATTATTTAAACCAGCAAAAACACAGAATAAAGCAGTTTCAATTTAATGCTGTTTGGCTTGTCACAGAGGGGCTGCTAGCCCAGTTCCTGCTAATGTGAGTGCACCGTTTTTCTCTGATAACTGAAGATCCAGATGTTCAGGAGGTCTCCTCCTCTCCAAAGCAAACAGACCTGGTCATTTAAACCGCTAAAAATGCTGAATAAATCAGTTTCATATTAAAAATCAGTGGGTTTTGTTTTTTATACTCTCTGGCTCGTTGCAAGGGGGCTGCTAACTCAGCTCCTGCTAATATGTGCTCAACTTTTTTCTCTGATAATTTAAGATCCAGACATTCAGGCCGTTTTTACCAGGAGCTGAATTACCCACAGAGGTCTCCTCCTCTCCAAAACAAACAGACCCAGTGATTTAAACCGGTAAAAAGTCTAAATAAAGCAGTTTTACGTTAAAAATCAGTGTTTCTTCAGTGCTGTTTGGCATTTGTTCAGCTTGTTTCTCTGATTAAGATCCAGATGTCAAATAACTTAAAATTCTTTATTGGGTGAAACTATATGGTTAAAAACGACCAAGATCCAATAAATGTATTGTAAATATGTAGCTTAAAAAGGGATTAAAAGTAATTTGTCACCCACAATCCTGCATGCGATAAGGAGACATGATGCCACTGACAGGTGATGGCGGCCAAATGACACAGATTGTATCCTTGATTAAAATTACAGACTTCTCTGGGTTTGAACATTACTGGAAACATTTGGGATAATGTAAATACACAACTCAACAAATATATAATATTGGTCCAGTTGTTTTTAGACATTTTAATACATAAAAGTTATATATTACATCTTTAACTGAAGTTTAATCCAACCACGAGACATTATTGTTGTCTTTAGAGCAGCTCTGACAAGCGTTTCACAACTCAAAGACTGATCTGCCCTCCTCTCAGGAAGAGCTCAGGGTTAATCAAAGAAATAAGGAACAAGGCCTCCGCTCATTCAATCACTTCTTGTTTTGATAAACAACCTCACTACTCCATTGTACAGTGCTGGAGGGGGGGGCCGAGGGGCAGCCTTGAATTGTTCCTTCCACAGGTGGAACAATGAAAAGGCTTCCCTCTTTTTCTGAATGAGTCACCAGGCCGATAGGATCACACGTGTTTACACTGCTCAGCCTCGGCCCAAACCATACCTCACGTTGCCTCGCTGAAGCTAATCAAGGAAATTGCTGTTTGTAAACCTCCTCGTATCAACATCTGGGAGCAGTCCCCTCTCCCCTCCAAACCAAAACGGCTTAAAGTAAGAAAAAGAGGAACAAATACTGAGGCAAGGCACACACAAAAGCGCATGCATCCACACCACGTGCACAGCCACCCACACACACACGCACGCATACACACAACACATGCTGCATTTGTGATCCATTCCTCTGCTGAACAGGCAATGGAAACTTCTGCAAATGTAAATCTGCTGGGTTAAAAATACAGCGCATTAATGTGCACCACATGTGGCACTCTGGCAGGATGGAGGATATTTTGACGGCGGGGGGAGAGCGGAGGAGAGGAGGGAGGCAGTCCTGGGGTTTCTCCAACAACGGAGAGGGAGACACACACACATACATACACACACAGCTGTACTGGGAGTCCAGAACTCCTCCTATTTTACCTTGAGCCTTTTCCACAAACACCACCTTGGAGTCGTGCTGGAAGTTGTGTCCGTCGATGAGCATCCTCTCCCCCCCAGGGGCAGGACACGTCTCCAAGCTCCTCTTATCCACCAGCGGCAGCTCCTGGGCCGATCTCTGGGCTGTGGGAGGGAGAAGAGAAACCGGCTTCATCGTTCTGCTAATACACACCCACTCCCCATGCAGACCTGAGCATCCAGACTGAGGCTGAATCACTAACCTAGACAGCTCTCACGGAGCAGTCAGCTGTAAACCTCCACCTCTTTACGTTAGAATTAAGCTGCCTCTTTGCCAGTAAGTAAAGAGAGACTCCATGTTGTGTTTATTTGTGTTTTCCGAAATTATGGTGGATGTTTTGTCTCAAATATTTGGTTTAAGTGTTTCTTTTCGTCTCCTCGTCTGTTTTTACTCCTCTCTCTTACCTTTTGGCTTCTTATTCCTCACTCCCTTTCAGTTTTTCTTTTTATTACTTGCCATGAAATATTTGCAAACCTTTTCCGTCTATAATGCTGATGTCTTGGCCAGGTCTCTCTTGTGAAAGATAGCTGTAATTTCATCGTGATTGACCGGGATACATAAATAGAGGTTCAATAAAACCTGAATAGTTTTCTCATATGAGGATCATCTCTTAGTAATTCGATGCTTCTGCTTTTCTGATTTTGATAAAACTCAAATTCTCCGTTTTTGGAAACCATCAGTCTTTCCCACATCTCTCTGTTTCTGTCTGTCGTTCTGCTTCACTCACACACAAAGTGAATTTTGGTCAAAAACAATTGCTCGGTGGCAGTCGTTCAGAAACTAACAATGGTCTATTTCAAGGGGCTGAGATCATGGTTTAACTACTGTCTTTCATTTACCTCATAAGACTTAATCTCTATGGCAGCTCTGACTGCCAGAACCACATGAAGTGGTTGATGTGCCTGAGTTTATCCCAGTCCAGTGAAAGGTCAACTCCAGTGCACTGCACAGTCGATAGAGTTTATTGAGCAAGCCCTACATTAACTTTACACAGACAAATACTGTTGATTTAAAATGTAGCTCACAATCACATGCACCAGTAGTTACAGGGCTGCATTGAATTATTGCTATTTTTACCAATTGATCTAATGTTTATCTTTTAATTAATTAAGTGTTTAATCCATAAAATTTTTAAGTTAGAGAAAATAGCCCCAAAACAGCAGAAAACCCAACAGTATCTATATTACAATAACAAAACAATAAATAAAAGCAGCTAATCTCCATCTGAGAAGCTTGACCCACTGACTGTTTGACATTTTCACCTGATATATAACTTCAAGGATTACTTGATTATCTTTCTGCCAACTTTCTGCCTATTGACTAAATATTTAAATTTCAATGGAGCAACTTTTACTTGCCCCCCTTGTCACGTGTCATATGCCAAAGAGTTATGGAGAGTTGCACCATTTTTTGTTATAATGTTATAATGTGATTTTATTTCCCTTTCTAACATCAGATTTGTTAATTTCAGATGGGATATGATACGATACGATACGATACGATACAATACGATACGATACAATGCGATGCGATGTGATGCAATGCAATGCGATATGATATGATATGATGCGATACGTTACAACACGATGTGATGCGATGCGATACGATATAACATGATATTATTTGGTACGTTACATGCAGGAAAAACTGTAACTGTAAATAACAATATTTCTCTGCAAAACCTGTATTAGAAATTCTATAAATTTATTGGTTTTGGACTTTTTTTTAAATATGATATTTAACTGTAATTTTACAGTTTTTGTTTGGCAGCTACTACTGCCAGGCATCAGAGGTATTTGATTGTAATAATTCAGTTTTTTCTGCTAAACTTTTAATGCAATCATTTAATTGATGTTGTGTGTTCATAATAATTTAGGGAAAAACTGTAAAATAACAGTATATGTCCACAAGACCTTTAATGAAAACATATATAAATGCATTTATATTTATTGTTTTAGGATATTTTAATTTATTTGCATGGTTTTTGCTTGGCAACCCCCAATGCAAGTCATTTGACCATTTTTTTTTTTTTTGTTTGTTTGTTTTTTTACAATTTTTTTTTTTTAATACAGTGTACGATAGGATGCAATGTGATACGATACTACACAATACAATATGATATGATATGATATGATACGATACGATGTGATATGATACGATACAATACTTTTAGATGCGATGCGATTAAACAAGACAAGACATTGGAATTATGATAGCACTCCCTTATTTTGATAACACTAGAAAAATATAAAAGAAAGTCAAAATAGTATAAATCAGTCAAACTAGGAGCAGTGCTCAAAGTGCTATACAGTCTACAAATAAACAAAAAGCAGCATACGATCTAGCAGCAACACTAGATGCAAATAAGTATCAGTAGCAGCGTAAGAGTATGGCACATGGACATATCGCATTATAGTGAGTTCAGTCAGTGGGGGGAAGGATATATCAGTCAGGGTGAGTTTAGCAATTTGGCAGCTTTGGGCAAGAGGCTGGTTTTTAGCCATGTAGTGTGTGTGCATGTTTTGTCCTGTAATAGAGGCCTGAAATTGTCAAGGTTTCCAGCATTTTCCATTAACAAGACTAAGAGTCAGCCATGCGGGCAGCCCTGTGAGGCCACATTTAGATTCAGGGATGCTTGAAGCTAAATGCTAACATCAACATGCCACCATGCTCGCAATGACAATGCTGACAGGCTGATGTTAAGATGGTATCATGTTCATCATGTCCACCATCTTATTTTAGCCTGTTAGCGTGCTTGCATTTGCTAATAAAGTACAGCTGAGGCTTATGGGTATGAGATGAGTTTAGCACAGAGGTGTCAAACTCATTTTAGTTTATCAGCAACATACAGCCCAATTTGATCCAAGTTGGGCCGGACCTGTAAAACCATTGCAGAATAACCTATTAACAACAACACCTCCAACTTTTCCTCTCTTTCTTTTAGTGTAAAGAAGTACATTCGGGAAACATTCATGCTTTTACAAATCAAATGATAAACAGTCTGAGATTTCAGCAATATGTTTTTCCACATTCAGTGGGTCTACTACCCACATTACCACTCTTGTGTAGTAATGCTGACATCACCAAACCAAACCAAAGTAAAAGATACTGAGAAAGTAGGCTAAGTTTTCCGCTGCTTTATAGACCGTTTACAAATCAAAAGCGTTAAAAAACAGGAAAAGACGACACCTGTGATATTACAATATCTAAATTCTAAGTCGATATCTAGCCTCATGTCACAGTATCGATATGGAAGGATTATTAAATGGGCAGTTGGTAGTTTTAGAGGTCTATTTTCCAGTAACCATTTGAGTACTATTCAAATGTCATGAGAGGAATGAGGCGTTAAGGTGACATTTTCAAGGGAAAACAAATAGATGTACTCACAGCACTCAATGGGGTTGGATGAAACCTGCAAGGACACTGTTCGCCCCGTGGCCTGGTTGATGTGAACTCTGAAAACCATCCGCACACGTGTGTTCTTGCGTCCAATGTCAGTCTCCCCCTTTCTCAGCTCAATGTCCGAATTACGCAGCTTCAAGATCCCTGCGCAGTCAATTCTGTGTTTGAGGAGACAAAAGACGAAGAGTTTGCCAAAGTCTGCTAATGATATATTCACATCTAAAGGTAATCAGGCTGTGATTTATACAGTATTGCAGCTAATTCAAGAGGGATTTTCACTCTGGACTCCATTAGCATGGTCCTGACGGAGGCTGCAGTCATGTCAACAGAAGATTAACACCACCACCTCCAACAGAGCTTCTACACCTCAGTGCATCCACTTTTGAGTGAAACTCAAACTCTACAGACTGGGAAACGTTCATCAAATCAGGAAAATCTTTGTTATGACACACAAGAGATGGTTCCTAAAATACTGCTCCCCTTCCACAAATCTTACGAAAAGAGTTGGCTGTAATGATTTCTTCATCAGTCACTTAATAAAAGCCCTCCTCCTCCTCCTCCTCCTCCTCCTCCTCCTCTTCCTCTCTGTCTGCACTCATCTAAGTTTTTCATACTTAAATACCTCAAGCCTCTTCCAAACGCTTTCTGGCTTTTCCATCGCCGTGCTACTTGATGCCGCATTCCTCAAAGCCTAGTTAATGTCAACTTTTACACACATTTGAACACTCCCTAACATTCTTCTCACCAGACACCAGGGTCTGCTCCACTGGCGAAGCAATCAGGTGTTGATGCTAAGGACCCCAGCTGTTCAGCTCTCCGCCTACGCAGACAGGCTGAGTGCAAAACCACATACTGAGGCGTCCATTCAGTGCCTGAGATAAAGTTTACACTAATTGTATTGTATCATTTAATTTATTAAGCGTTACTTGGAGTCATACCAAGCTGACCATTTGTGGCTTCAAGTTAGCTAACTGATGTTGATTAGTGATTTAATTTAACACACAGCCCCCTGAATCATCATGAATAACTTTTTCAGAAATATAATAATGCCCCTTTCTATACCACATAATAAAACATCTATATGTCAAACTGGAGGACATGTCAAAACGAATAAATCTCCCTCAAATCCCCTGTCTACACTGTAAGCCCTCTGGGGCGTGTCCCCCGTGAGAAAAGCGAAACCGTATCCTGAGGTGAAGTTGTTGTATAAGAGGAGCTTATGTGTTACATCCATTAAAACGCAGAGAAAGTGCTGACGCTAGCAGGCTGCTGCTGCTGCTGCTGCTGCTACTGCTGTCGGCAGCTCAGACACAAACCCCAGGTCCCTGTTAGCAGCCCAGAGCTTCCCCCAGTAATCTGATCTTGGAGGCTTATAAAACAGGAAAGACACACACACACACACTTGTGGACACACACAGAAAACTAAACATCAGCAGCAAACTTCATATCTACAGATTTAGCTGTTTTTTTGTTTGTTTGTTTTGTAGAAAAACAGTGATCTAACATGTTTTGATAGTTTTATGAGCCCAAGAGGAACAACATTTCCCCCTGAAGAGGACCGGAAGGGTCCCTTAGTTGAAGTAAACTCCTTAAATTTTAGTTTAGAGATTTTCATGTAACAACAGTGATGCACATCTTTGCAGAGAAGCTGGTGTTTACAGCATTATGCATGCTCAATATTTCATGCCAGGACTTATTTCAAGGTCTTTTCAGAGTTCAAGTGCTAAGCCACTTTAGACAAGTTAAGCCTATGTTAACCAAGTTATGACTTGGTTGGGACTGCAAAGAACACAGCTTTGGTGAACATTCACATACACACAAAAGAACATATTTGCTTATGTTAAATTTTGACTTAAGGACTGTATCAAAAGACTAAAAGGAAAACTGCTACCATAAAATGACCATTTGTATATCAGTTAGTCCTGCTGAGTTACCTTGAATACCTGAATGCCTCCATAGAATTTGGCAAACATATTGATTTATTGGGGACCAGGATTAACAACAGCAAAGATATATCAAAACATCTGTTTATAGTTTACACTCTCACAAAACTCCTGTAGTATTATTCATTTGTCGTTTTCATTTATCCAATCATATGCTCAGTACTTCCTAAACACATTAATTTTTGCTAAAAACAAACAAACAAACAAACAAACAAACAAACAAACAAACCTATTTTTGGACTGTGAATTTGAAGAGATCTCAGAGTCTTGAGTTAAATAGACTTCTCTCCAATAATTTGAGACTTACCTTGTTTTAAATGACTCAAGACTTGACTTGGACTTGTCTTAAATGACTTGAGACTTGATTTGGACTTAGCCTCATCAACTGGAATATAAGATTCACCACTTTTAACCTACACATCTAGAATTATTTCTAAAGGCTGTTACACACCAGCAACCTGGTGAAATACTCAATAATAATAATAATAATAATAATGATAATAATAATAATCAAAAAACCTTATACCGGATGCGCTGCAAATTTGTGACAACTACTGGGATCCTTGTGACCCAGAGCGTGTGGCAGTCTGTACAGTAAGTTGTTGTATAGCCGAAGATACTGTGAGCTATTTTATTGAGTTTCCTCTTATCAAAATGCTGCAAGTGGTTTTGGTATGTGTTGCCTTTGTCAAGGTTGAAAAGAGTAATATTTACCGTCTTAGTTTGGACTACAGAGCCTCCATGTTGTTGTTTTATAATTATCATAAGTATAGGCGCAACATGATTGGCTGATGCCTCTATTCGTGAAATGAAAGTTCAGAAAAATTGACCTTGTTCTGAGAAAAAAATTACATCGCTTATTGGTTGTGGAATATTCTTCTCTGTGAGAGTACTCATGACAGGAACAACAGTTCGAATGTGCCAATGAATTGGATGGAGAAACATTCCTGCTGTGTGAAGGCCTTACTGTAAGTCTTTTGGGCCAGTCTAAGTCTCGAATCATTTAAGACAAGTCCACATCAGGTCTTGAATGGATCCAAACTTGACACCCAAGACAAATCTTAAATTACTTGAGATTTGACTTGTATTCTTCCCCTGAAGACTTAGAAATAACTCTTTATCCTGGTTTGAACCTACTGTGGACATGTGAACATATTTGAACCTGCTGTAGACGCCTTACTGGACGGGTACAGCCCCTGATACTCACATGGCCCGCATGTTGTTCTCTGGCAGCAGTGGGATCTCCAGGATCTTGGTGTTGTTGTGCAGGGCCTCGTGGCTCGGGGTAGACACTGTCTTCCCTGTGATGCGGTGGACCTGGTAGAAGGCGTGGGGCCTCAGCAGCCTGTCGTCAGCAGTGCCAATGAACAACTGCAGAGTGAGCGGCTCGCTTTCCATGTAGCCATGGAGCTAAGAGGGGAGAAGAGACAGTTGTGTTTAAGCATTCATGTCCCCTTCAAAAAAACATGCAGTTAAAGACTAACGCAGGTCTTTCAGAGGTCAGGCTCTCAGCATGATGGTTTTCAAACAAAGCACCCATTTAGGATCTTGTAATCACCCTTGTCATCTCCTTTAATTTACTACCAATGGCCTGTGTACACTTTCTCCATCAGTTCATGTCAGGCCTGCCAAGATGTTGATCCTACAGTAGCTGAAGGAGGCCGCTGCTGCCAGAGAGCAGAAAAACCACCTACGGCGAGCAGCGTTGTGATTTGTGACAAGACTAAGCTAATGATTCAGAAAAGTCATGTCAGCCCCACCGAGCCTCGGCCAATCAGGGTCAAGAAAAACTCTCAGCAGTGACCCTGCTCTGATCTTTATCAGTAAAATGATCCCGGCACGATGGAGCTGGAGAGAAACGCTACTCGCTGGAAGTGGTGGGCTCGACTCAGAGCTTCTAAAGCACTCCCAGACCTCCATAGGTGTTGCTTGACAGGAGGCCTCCTGCCAGGATGACCTCAACCACCCAAACTGCAGAGTGCAGGCATGAGGCCCAAACCCACAGAGTGAAATCTGAGCACAGTAGCTACCACTGACACACTGTCTCAGAGTTATGTATGTTATCAATACAGTGCGATGGGGGATGAATTAGAGCTGAATACTTGGCCTTTTGACGTCAAAACAATCACAGGAAACACAATGCGTGTGATATGAAATTACAGGAATATAGTGCAGCATTAGACAAAGATTTTACGTACAAATTGTTCATATTTAATGTTATTTGAGAGGTTAAAGCTACAAAATTGATAGTATGCTATATTTGGATATGGTAATATTGTAACTGCCGTCTTTCCCTGGTTTTAAAGGCTGCATTACAATAAATGAATGCACCAGACTGTCCTAGCTGTTCTGTTTGTTGCATTATTAATATTATTCTATGTACAAGGAGTTCACGTTCAAATTCACGCAGTAGTAACTCAAAACTAAATTATACCTTATTGCAAATCATAAGAAACAGTATTCTTATCATTAACTATAGCATATATAAAAATAAAACTGAACCAATCTGAATTTTTGAGTCAAAACTGGCCTGAGTGGGCAAAAAACTGGACATGTTCACATCACCATCCACAGACCATGTCAGTGTCAGTGTTACAGACGCAGATGCTGAACCCCGCCTAATTATACACCGCTGTGGATGAGATTGTCAGCTGTAGTGATCGTCAGAGAAATGCTGAAATGGAGACCACAGTTTTCACTTACACAAGAAGAGCACTCGAGGCGAGGAGTGCCCACAACAAGAGTGAAAAGCTCAGAGTGGGGAGGCACAACATGTGATTTGGAGGAGGATCCCTGTCAGGGTTAAGAGCCTGCAAAAGCCCTGTATATTTGTGTAAGGAAATGGGTTGCTGCCTAGCAATGCTGTTTATTTAGGCAGCAGGAAAGAGTGTGATGAAGTGAGGAAGCCCGCTCGCAAGGTTAGACGGTTCCTTTCAAAGTGTGATTACAAACAGATTATCTGCTTTGAATCATTATCAGCATGAAAGCAAACAGAAATAATCAAACCTGACAGAGTCATCTGAGTGATTTCAGCTGTTTCTGATCGTTTCCAAAAAGTACTGTTATCTTTCATTTTAAAACATAAAATTATCAAAGTGGCAATCTTAAAATCAAAGAACCGTTACATTCTGCGATCTGAATCATCTGTTTTATGAAGCTGCTGCGGGAGACAACAGTTATGATTTGTTTGTGTAATTAAATCACTGTGATACCACTTCATGTAAACCCTCTGCTCCTCCACCCTGGCAGTTTGACATTGGCAATGTATCCACCCCTCCCTAGTTCATATTATCACCCACAAGAGGAATGCTGAGACTCCGGCTGCCCAGAGGAGGAGAGAGGGGTGAGGGCGACTGGGGCTCCCTCTCCATTCCTATTATTGACCCTCCCAGCTCTATAAGGATAATCACACACACACACACACACACACACACATATACACACACACATACAAAACCCCACACACCCGGGCTGTGTTTGAATAGGCAGGAGAGGGATAGCTCAGTGTGACCGTCACACTTTTTGCTCCACATGATGTTTGTTAATTGTACTTCAAAGCAACTAAAAAACACATGACTCCAAAATATTAATCTTCAAAAAGGCATTTCAAAATGGCTCTGGACGTGTTTTTCAGCAATGTGCTGATCATAAAAGCTGACAGAGGAAAAAAAAAAGACCTCACAGACTTGAATAGGGGGTATTTCCTCTCCACTAAAGTACAGCATGAAACCGTGAGCATTAACTGCGGTGAGAACTGCACACAGCACTTCAGAGGGGCATACTTCAGTCTGCTGCTGGCGTAAGGGCGGGAGTGGTTGAGGCAGGCAGCGGCGATGGCATTGAAAAAGAACAGAAAATAGCCGACTGTGCTGTGTGCTGGATGCTGAAGAAAAAAAAGTGTACCACACAGAACAGGACCTTCCAGAATAAACTCTGTAAAGTCTGGGCAAGGTTTGAGTCAGAGGGGCGGCAAGACGAGCCACAGAGGCTTCGTCAGCCAGCGTCCACACAGCAGAGGCTGCGGCGCTGTGTGCACCATGTAATCAGGAAGTCACAGAGATGGGGGCTGCCTTGTCTGAGGCTCCCTCCAACATCTCCATCAGAGCCTGCCAGAAACGTGTGTGGTTAAGTTGCTGCCGCCTCCGCAGGACGCAGCGCGCGATGATGTCAGCCGTACACACGGGAACTTTCCTAAACAAAGGGAAGTCTGTGTGGTTGGGGTGGTAGCTGGCGGAAAAGTAGGGGGGAGGTTTGGGTTTGGGTTTAAAGAGAACACACACTCTCTTTTTCAGCCGGGGTGAACACAGACCTCTGTCATTAAATCATTAGCACCTTCTCATGGACAAATACACGCGTCCAACACAGATGTGTGGCCGAAGATGCAACATGCTGGATGGTACAACATGTTTTGGTTTCCAAATGTTGTATTCCACAATTCCATACAAATATAATATTCCTGTTTCCTTATTCCAATGCTGTTTCCTCAATGAAAAAAATATTTCACAACACTGTTAAATTTAACTTCAAAGCATTTTGTATAAGAAACAAAACAATCATTCTGTTGGATGAAACTATCCATTCCCAGCACTAACAGTACAGCCTGTACTATATACTTATTGTCATAGTATACTGTTTTTGCTACAATGTCCTCATACCGAAACAACAGACTAGATTGTTAACAGTAACAGGAGCTATTTAACAATGTGAAACAGCCACAGTTTTGAACACATGGGTAACGTTCAGGGTTAGGCAACAAAACTACTTGATAAGTTTAGGAAAAGGTCATGGTTTGAGTTTACATAAGTATGTTTTTTTCATAACTTAAGTTACATATACATGTAACCACTGTGCAGGAATGCATTTTATTGGCAGAGCCTATTTCTGAAAATGTCTCAGCTTTATCACTCAGTTTAAAACATTTGCCAGAAAAGCAATAAAACAGTAACTGACTGTCATAAGTTCCATTACTTTGATGAAGCAATTAAAAAATAAAGTTATGTTCTATATTAAATTTTCACAGTTACTAGTAATCTATTAAATTTCAAAATTAACCTTTCCAACACTGCACAAAATGTAAGTACATCCCCTTACGTAATCTAAGTACAAAAGTTAACTTACAAATATAAATTAAAAGAATTCAGTGTTGACATTTGGATTCACACGGGACACAAAAACCTGTCTCCTGGGTAAAAGTCCTCTGTTTGACCCGTACATCCACCCCAACCTCCTCCCTACATGGACTGTTGCTCTTTGTACTATGTCACCCGTCATAATTACTATGACCAGAAGCTGCCACCCTATTTATAAATATAAATATGAGGTCGTAATCAGGCTCCAAGGAAGTGTGCTGGGCTTTGAAGCCAGTTTTCGTAGTGGCCAAACAGTGCAATTACACTGTCACATGGGAGAATTGTTCATATTGACTCACATGGCAAAAGAGACATCTGTAAATCAGTGGATACATTTTTTTGAGGATCACAACCCCCTGTGAAATGATTTGTTTCACCATCAGGACTGTAACCATTTGGTCTGATAACATTCAGAAAGTCTAGAAGAACCGCCCAATTGAATAATTTCTTCCCCATTCAAGTTAGCAGAGCATTTAAATGGAAGAAGCCAGCTCAGCCGGCTTCATGCGCCACTGAGCAACTTTTATAGGAATGACCGTAGCTGCACCTCCAACCCTGTATCCAGGTCTCTTCAGACATCCATGGTCATAATGCTGCAGACACAGACAACGTCACTACCAATGCTGCTGTTTAGTACAGAAAAGATCAATGTATACAACAATTTTGTTGTAACAAGAAATTATTAATACTTATTTTATTGTTTTCCAAGATCTTCCTGCAGCTGTATCTACTGGGTCGGGCAAATATTATCAGCTAGTTTAGGCTAATTACAGATACTGTATATTGTATTAGTATGATTGAGATATTTTGGCAACAGTGTTACAATTATATACTGTAGTTTGTCCACTAGAGAACCCTGACAAGTTTGCTTTTTAACTGTAAACTATGCTGCCCAATATGTTGATTAATATGTTTCTTGGTCACAAGTCTTTTATAACAAATGAAAGGAATCCTCTTCAAAAATGTTGGTTTGTAAGGAAAAAAAGTGCACTAGCCAACATGTATTATCTGCAAAGTTAGACGATATTCAATATTGGTATCAGCATCAAAAATATTATCTTTTGGTAATTAAACCTGCATTAACTACTTTTTTGGCCACTTGGGGGAAGCACAAATAAGCTAAACCTTACACTTTGTAGGGAACAGTGGCGTATTTACACACCAAGCAAACACAGAGTAACATTAATATTATTTAGTGTTGTGTTTCAAGCCATCTGACAAATGTAGGTCCAGTTTTTACTCTTCTTTAGACTCTGTTTTGGTCTCCACCAACTCCTAAAGGGAATATTTGTCTCATTAGTTGTTAAATACTCCACTATGCTTACGAGATAGTCACTTAATTTGTCTATCTGACTTTTGGTAGGTAGAGTACCCTACTAATATTATAAGGTACACTCTTGAGTATACTTTGTTTTCCATTATTTTGGTGTGAATACAGTAATTAACAAAGATTTGTATAGAGTGAGTATGTGGTATGGAATTTGGACACAGTTTTTTTTGTCCTTAAAAAGGATGCTTAGCAATGTTAGCATCCCCCATTCAAACTAAGGGGCATGAAAAGCTAACTGCTCCTCTGTGGCAATAAGGAAAACTACTCATGCTAGAAAACACATTTCATCAAAACTGAAAGCCAAACACAGAAAACTCTACCCCGTATGTGACGGATGTCTGGTTAACTTGTACTCTTATTGTAATGTATTAATAAAATGTCAAAGGGTATTAATTAAACTGACAGCCTGGCTAAGCACACACTCTGTCCGACTCCAAGCTGCAGACCCTTTATTTATTCAGAGACTGAGGTCAGCGGTGTGGAGTAATGGTTGGGGGACCAGATGGGTTTAAACCAAAACATATCTGCAGTTGTCCACATTTTCTTTTTTCTTTGGAGTCGACCACCAGAGCTACTGTGGTTAAAGCTCATGACTAAGCTCTTACTGGCCATGCTACATCACTTTGTAACTGTCTGCGCTGCACTCGACAACGCAATGGAAAAGTCTGACTCACCCTAGTCTGGACAGGAACTGACTGAGTGGACCGGTCTGTCTAATAGCATACCTATGGTATTCCATTCAGAAATGTGACATCTTTAAATAACATAACAGCCAGGCCATTAAACACACGTCGCCTCAATCTATTTTAACACATGAGGTAGAAAAAAAAACAGGGGGAAAGTGTTGAGGCGAGAAGTGACGAGGTAAGGAGAAGGAGTGAAAATGGGTTTAATGGCTGCACCGTGTGTTGGTCTAATCATCACAGGAAACCAAACAGTCTAGCTCAGTGGTTCTCAACATAAGGTTCGATGATGAATGTGAAAAAAATTTGTTTTTTTTTTCGGTGATACAACATTCAGAGTCTGGGCTGGGATTTTCTGCACACGGCTCTTTCCTCTGATGTCACAAACCAGGATGTTCTCATGCACTGTGTGTAGATTATTCTACGGAAAGTAATTCTTACATACCCTTCGTAATCATGACTTAGTAATTCTTGCATAACCCACGTATTTTGGAAAGCTGCAATCATGTGACCAACATGCTGATGGTAGTGAGGAGGGAGGTGATCCCGAGCAGTCCACATAAGGATGCAGGCTGGGGTGATGGATGGGTCACAAAACACAGGACTTTCCTCCAGGACTTTTCTCTGGAGACCGGTGTTCACAACCATTTGACTTTGGGTTGTTTTAAGGTAACCATGTTTGTTTTCCTAACCCGAACCTCTATAACTAATTACGTAACTTTATGTTGAAGATGTAACGTCATTCTTGTGGCACTAATTTGTAGGATATCATACTGTTGTATGAGGATATGTTGCACTTAGCCAAAATGGCTGCATATAGTAGCGCTAGCCATGCTTACATTGCTAACAGCTCTAACAGTGCTAACAAAAGCAGCAGTGCTGACTGCAGTGTTAACTTGGGTGGGCGCTCTACTTCCGCAACAACATTATCAGGAGAGGGGAGTAAAGTGCAGCAGCGTTTAGCTACACTTTATTCTCTGGTCAGGGCGCCATTACTCCACTATTACCGAACTCAACATGACATCACAAGATCGCAGCCATCTGAGTTTAAGGGAAAGGTTGTGTGTATTCTGTGGTCTGTAAACTTCAAAATCTTGAGTGAGCTTCAGATTTTCATCCTTTCTGGTTAATTTCACAACCTTGAATTACATTTTGATTGGATAATATTGAGGCCTACATGGCGTTTGATTATTTTGGAGCTGGTGGTCAGCTCTGGTGAGCTGAGGCAAGATGTGAGAGAAAACTTGCCATGGTCGGCCTTGAATCATGCCTTTGGTTGTTTATGATACCAATACCTTTGCGCTAGCTTAAAAAATGAGGTGGTATAAGTATGAGTACTTTAAACTGGCCATGCCTGAGTTTATAAGGAGCTTGTGAGTCGTCATACACCAGTCATCCAGCAGCTCTTTGGCATGTTGGTGTGTTGATTTCACAAAGAAAACACTCCTAATTTGTCGCCTTTCCAAGCAATTCTCTGCTCTGCTACAAAAGGAACTAAAATAATCTCTCGGCCAAAGTTGGCTTCAAGATCTTTACATACCAAATAGGTTTTTGCTGCTATATTAATGTTTCAAATCTCACCACTCAATTCTTTTTCTTTTTTTTTCTTGAAGTACTTGATTATTTTACCTCTAAAAATATTCAAAAAGACTTTTTTAAAAAAAAAAGGTGTAAAGCACTGGTTTAGCAAACCTGAACAACAGGGTGTCCTCCTGCCAGGGCCTTCACTGCTCCCCTACTGCCCTCCGTCTCATAGTGGGCTCTGTGGTGGGACTTGGGCTGCACATCGATCTGCAGGCTGTACGGCCCTGAGCTGGACGGCAGCTGCCAGTCGAGAGCTGGCAGGGATGGGCTGTCAAGGCGAAAACATGTCCAACATGTCAACTTAGTAAAGAGGGAGGAGGGCTTATTTTAGATGCACTTATCAAGGTAGAATGTGCAGAATGTGAACACTGTGATGTGCCAGAGCTCGCGATAAACCTGCTATGAAATTACAAATATGTTCAAACTTACTGCTCTATGTATGGAGAACATTTCATATAATTGCCAAAAATAGTTAGCCTGTTTAAGTTTATGCTTTTATAAATTTTAAGCACACAAGCCATTCCCTTCAGGCTTTATTTCAGGTTTGAGTAAATCTTGTTAAAGGTGAAAATCTTCATCTGTAATTCTGCCATTCCTCACTTACCTGACATATTGCTTTGGCTTGGACCAGGAGTATGGGTGCTGTGGCACATCTAGGAACCCACCACAGTAGCCCTCCTTCTTTAAAGGCAGGCGATTGGAGGGGTGATCGTCCTGACAGAGCTCCCCTGGATTCAGCTCCTCACCTCCAGGCTCCAACTTCAGGCTGACAGTGGGGCTGTGCTCCAGGCTGGTTTTCCGGGCTTTAATGGGGATTCCCTCCCCAAGGTCGGCCACTCCATCTGTGGTCAAGGCATTGATGGCTGCCAGGATGGCTGAGTTGGTGTACTGGTTGGTGTTTGGCAGCCAGGTCTCTTCTGTTATACTGAGGCGAGGGGAGGTCTGCGGGGACACTCCAGGGGAGTGGTTGGGCGAGTATGGGTAGTGCTTGTGCGATGCCCCGCTGCCGTTAAAGCTGTATTTCCTCTTTGCACCACAAGGGGAGTTGGGCCTGGAGCCTCGCTGACCCATCCAGGTATCATCTGTCACACTTGTGCGTGGGGAGGTGGAGGGGGAGTGGCGAGGGGAACCACCAGAGGTGCAGCCATCACCTGGCAGGGCGAGGGTGGAGCCCTTTGGGGACACAGAGGGCGACTGCCAGGGAGAGTTCTGGGGTGAGTTTTCATAGTTGTAGGAGAAGCTTGACTCATAGGAGGAGGCGTCGGAGTGGCAGCTGCGAGATGAGATGCTACTGGCCGGGCTCAGGCAGCTGGGGTCACGATAACCATCTGCACTGGGGAGGGTCAGCGTCACTATAGAGTTGACTCGCTTAGCAACAGGAAGGTTGCTCTCCTCCACTTGGTCCTCAGGAAACTGACCGTAGGCTGTGATCTCGATACGAGGACTCTCCAGGGTTGGAGCCCCATTTGGGCGGATGCTTGAGGATGAATAGTAGCCGGCTGCTCTCATGTCATCCTGGGTGTCATAACTGTGAGACTCGGAGACAGAGACAGATATAGTGGGGCTGGACTGGAGGCTGTGGTACTGGGAGGGAAGGCAAGGGTTGCCCAGTGGGAGGGAGAGACTGACGTTTGGCGTGTAGCCATATGCATCTGGAAAGCAAACAGATTGACTTTGTTACCATGATAATCAAACACACATTCACTGGCTCGCTTACTGAGTGGGAGACAGCTGCCAAGTTGAGTCTTATGAGAGCTGTTGCAGAGGTGTTGCCTATAATGGCAAAAGAGCTGCTTCCTTACCAGATTTGGCCCTGGCTATTTCCCGATGCATGCAAGTTAAAGGGAAACTCTGATATTTTTCAACCTGGATCCTATTTCCCCATGTTTTGTGTTTAAGTGACTAATGGAGACAACAATTTGTGAAATTGGTCCAGTATTGAGAGAGGGCTGCAGCCACAGCAGTAAAAAGGGTTGCAATGTAACCACACGGGGCAACTGGCACTGTCAATTTATGTCCATTAAAAGTGCTTGTTTTTGCCACTGACAAGCCCAGGCTATAATTATGAGTGTCTAACAACATAACAGAAAGAACTCTATAGAGAAAAGACACACATTTTTCCTTACATTTCAATCGATCTGGTCTGTGATTGTGTCTAACCAGGTCTCACTCGAGCAAGTTGAAGAGAGGAGTGTGTGGAGTTTGTTGTGTTGGAGTACAGAAAGCAACTCTTAGTGTTATCTGAAAGAGTTGTTCATGTTATGGCTGAATATGTGGCTGATTTCAACAGTCAGAGCAAGACTTTTCCCTGAACAAGTCTTGGTTACACACAATAACAGACAGACTGAATCAAGCTAAAGTTAAGGATAAACTTCCCGGCAGGGTCCTTTCTGTGATGCTGTCAGAAACTTATAGTAAGAGTCTGAGCTTGTCAGCGGTAAAACCAAGCACTTAAAGTCGACGTAAATTGACTGTGCCAAATGCCCTGTTTGGCTACATTGCAGCCTGTGTTGCCGCTCCCAGCTGCATGTCCTCTCTCTCAAAACTGGACCAACTTCAAAAACTATTGTTCCCATTAGTCACAAAAACATGGGAAAATAGGGTCCAGATTGAAAAGCACAAAAGTTTCCAATTGAAATTTAACGCCTCGTGTAATGGGGATCCCCAAAAGTACTAAGTGGCACAAAACATGTCTGAATGGCTCAGACTGCACAGAGCAAAGGTGGGGAGACACGAATAAAGGAGCCAAAAATAGCTCCAGTCTAAAAATAACCAAAGGCGAAACCAGGTGTTTTTTTTCCACGTCACATTGCCAGATTTATGCCACTTAATGCACATGCTGCAGCCCATAAACTGTAACATTATGAAAACACACACTAATGCTTTACTTGGCCAGTTTCATGTTCCAGCAGCCATCGAAAATAAACACAGGAGGGACATGATTCGTTTATTTGCATGCTGTAAAGGTGCACGCTGTACCCAACTGGGAGGGAGCTTGTGGTCTCGTGCCAACGCTCCTGCTGGGTCATATGAAACTCTGCCTGTCTGTTGCGAAGGCTGAGGTCACAAACAGGGGGCAGGGAAGGGGGTGACATGGGAACGGGAGCTGTGGTTATATGGTGCATGAGGCTGGGCAAATGTGACCACAGTGGAGCACATTGATATGGATGTAGACGGCTGCTGCAGACAGACAGCCTGCAGTTACCACAGCTCCTGTCTGCTGTAAATTAAAGAGAATTAGGGGCCCCGCCATAAAGACTATGACATCAGTGCAGCACCATATGACTCCTCCTAATAAAAGAAAATGATGTTTATATTTAATGCTGCTTGTGGTGTGTGACACAGTAGCACTGAAATGTTTGCTTTCTATAATTAGACTGAATGAGCCTACAACAGGTAGCCTGGGGGGGCTGCGCCATCTAAATGCTGAACACCATCTGATTCACCCACAATTTTACCCACAATGCCATGTCAGTCATTAGCACAGGTTCACTTCTGACTATTTTGGGAACACTTTTTAGTCATGAGTGGTTCACAGCAGCAGAACCACGCCCACTTTGCCCAAATCATAGGGAGGGGCGCACACAGTATCTCCACCACAGCTTTAATACTGTTACTGACTGTACTGCACTGAGGCTGAATACAGACATTCAACTGGACAGAAAGTGCAGCTAAGACCCTCATTTAAGGTGTCAAATAATGATGAAAAGTTGAATTAAAAAAAGGAAAGCCTCCTGTTATAAATGAAAGTCAAACTCACCCTCTTCAGCAGATTTCATTTTCTTCTTTGCGCAGAGAGAAACGTGTGAGATTAAACGCTGAGTACAGCTGCAGATGGGAGCTTATCCATATAGCGGAGTTTATATATTCCACAGCTGTTGCTCTGGATCCTCTCTCGCTGTATCGCCGCAAACAAACAACAAGAAGGAGAAATAATAAAGTCAAAAGAGACTGTAACTGCTTCAAAAAAGGGAGAAACAAGTCGCATCCAAAAACAAAAACCCTATAAGAGATGTGAAAACTATTACAACTTGTGGAATAAGATCTTGGCCGATGCAGAAAAAGCTATTTTCGTCGCTGTGTTGAGATATCTGACTCGGGGGATCCTGGCTCTGCTGGGTCGCTGTGACGCACTGCTCCGGCGCACAGAGGACTTCTGCGCTTTTAAACTCGGGGATCACCTCGGCGGCGGCGCACCGCCCCTCCACACAATGACGCATCTACACGCCCGACCACCAGATGGGTCCAATGGAGAGATCCTCTCCCTTTCTCTCTCTCTCTCTCTCTCACACACACACACATACACACGCGCACACTGGGGTTTCCAGGAGTCAAAGGAGGCCAATTAGTGAAGCTGGCAGTGAAGCCTGAAGGCTCCGAGATGAGTAAAATAAGCCTCGCCACGGGAGAGCCACATGCAAAACCTCCAGTGATTGGAACAAACATCCTATACAGACCCAGCGCAGTTGAATATGAGGTATCCCTCCGAATATAAACAGTGGAATAAAGTTCCAGTGTGTAGGGTTTAGGGGGATATATTGGCAGATATGGAATATAATAAGAATGTTTTCTTTAGTTTATAATCACCTGAAAATAAGAACTTTTGTGTTTTCATTATCTTCATTAACATAGATATGTACGTAGAGAACGGGTCCTCCTCTACAGTCTGCCATGTTGAACTGCCATGTTTCTACAGCAGCCCAGAATGGACAAATCAAACACTGACTCTAGACAGGGAACATTTGTGTTTTTGTTGCAGTCATGGTAATCAGCAGCCCTTCTACAATGAGTACCGGAAAACACAGATTTGTAATGTGAAACTGCTTCATTCAGTGTTTTTACTGGTTTAAAACACAGGGTCTGTTTGTTTCAGAGGGGAAGTGACTTCTGTGGATTCTACTCCCGGTAAAAACCTCCTGAACGTCTGGGTCTAAAGTTATCAGTTAAAACGGGTGAGCAGCACACATGAGCAGGCACTAGGCTAGTGGCTTGTGTCACTGATTTCTAACATAAAACTGCTTTATTGAGTGGTTTTACCGGTTTCAATCACCTGGTCTGTTCATTTTAGAGAGGAAGAGACCTTATTTCGGTTCCGGTAAAAACGTCCTGAATGTCTGGATCTTAAGTTCTCAGAGAAAAAGGTAAGCACATATCAGCAGATGCTGGGCAAGCAGGTAGTTAAACAGTGTGGGAGAAACAGTGATTTGTAACATTAAACTGGTTTATTCAGTGTTTTGACCTATTTTAATGACCTGGTCCATTTGTCTTGGAGAGGAGGAGACCTCGCAGATAATTCAGCTCCCAGTGAAAACCTCCTGAACAATAAACACTAAAGGTATCCTAACCGGGAGAAGTTTCAACTGGTTGCAACCTGCAGTCCTCGCCTCTACATGCCTATAGATGCTCATAAATCCCCCCAAATCTTACACACTGTTCCTTTAAACCGACCCAGCATAGCATAAAACATTATGACTTGTTGGGTGGCAGATGTTAAACCCATGTCCCCATTATCCATTGACTGACTTAATGAGCATGAACAGCATTAATCTGCAGTTTCCACCCACTTTATCTACAGTATCTGTTCCCATTGGCATGATTCACAAAGGAGTCATCAATGTGCTGCTGCGAGACACTGCACATGGAATCTCCTAAATCAAGATTTATGTGCAGACTAATCCTCACCAGCATTTTTACATTAAACTGCTGCCATTTTCGCCCTGAAGAAGCCATTCATCAACGGCTGACAGATGTTCGGTTAAAGGCTGCTGGGTTTTCAGATCGCAGCAGATACAAGGGCAGGTGAGCTGAGGGAAACATGACAGAATGCTGCTTCACAAGACATATAAAACATAAAACTTCCTTCAGATGTTGCATGGGCGTCTCATGGGATTTTGAAGATATTGCAAAGGCAAATAATTGCTTTCCACTTCCTCCTGACAGACTGCAACGTCTGCGGGGCACAAAACACATAATTATCCATACTTTCATAGAAGTACTATATAAAAATCAAGTCATATACCCGGTCATTTGACACGCTGAACTGAGAATCTTCATAAAGTTTTCCATAGGCCGCTCTCTGCGGTTGGTGTATACTTATTCAGCTTAGTCCCATGCAGGCAGGGTTGTTGCTATCTTTGGCAGGTCTGGACCTCTCAGCAGCTGGCAGCAGGCTCGTGGTTTCTGTGATGACAATAGTCACATGGCGGCTCTCGAAGAGCCTGTCCATCCCTGGAGGTGGGAAGCTACATTGCTGCACTGTGGCACCTTATCAGCTAGCCCTAGTTGATGGGATTCTTAGAGGTGGCGGGCTGAAGTGTCATGCTACTTCCACTCTCAGCCAGGGAGTGTTAGGGTGTGTCTTCATTTATGGGTCATAACTCCTCATTGTCTCATTCTACTTTATATTTGCAGTATGTTCCCTCTGGTGAGGTCATTTTTGTGATGAGCTTTTTTAAATTTCTTTTGGGATTGTCCTTTGTGTAATTTCCCAGGCTTAGTGAATTGGGAATTGCACATCTTTTCTTACGCAGGTGCATTTGGAGAGGCTCAATCTGTTAGATAGATAAGGAGAATCCAGCAGACTGCTCTCACATTCATCTATTGAATCACCACCCCAAACTTGGTCCCTGCAGACTTTGCTCAGAGTTCTTTGTCAAAAAGACCAGAGATATCGTCTTAGCACCTTCCATGCTGATTTTATTTATAGGTGTCCCAGAAAAGGTCTTCAGCTTGGCAGGCATCTCGACTGGGATAATACTAAAACATCAGAGCGAGTTTTGTGGTGCCAAGGTTTAAGGTGCTAAGTGCACTGTAGAAAATCTTTTTTTGATAGTATGAATGTTTTTGACCTCTTGCTGCATCTGTATCAGGTACAAACTACTTCCTAAACCCTGCTCGATTGTCTTCACGGTATTACTCTGTCCCTCCTCTTGGGATTTTAGTGATCGCTTTTAAAGAAACTGTTTCAGACATCAGCTCTTAATCCACATTTGACTCCATTGTGCAACAACATGGCATGCCTGCCCCACATCCAAAGCAATATTCCCTCCTCACCCACTGGGATCTCATTTTGGCCGAGCTCTCTCTCCAGCAGAGTATTTGAGGGAGTGACGGCACTTGTGAAATCCTAGCCGTCTGTTTCATCATGGGGACGTGGCTCGGTGGCTCCCCAGTCATTTGAAGAACCCCACACGTTTCTTTGACCCCATGGAAATGTCTCATGGGGCTGGGGGGGCTAAATGGGGCAAAAGGGGGGGGGGTTTGCCACTCCACAGTTATGTGTAACTGAAACATGTGCTGCAGTAAACACTTCCACCCGTCTGTAGTTAATAAATAGCTCTGCTGCTGATTGACTCGTGGACCGTTCTACGTCAGGGCGGTGCTGGGGCTCGTAGTTTTCCAGCCAGGCCTGGTGTTGGTTAGTGGACACCTTGGTAACAGGCCACTACAGACCGGATGGATCCAGAGCCACAACTGAAAGAAGAGCACAGTCGATAATGAGAAACAACACCAAGGTCCTGTGTAGATAATGTAGACACAGCAGAGTGAACACAAGAGCCCTTTGATATCAACAAGCTGCTTTCCACCACCAACACAAGTAACACAAGAGACTTTATTGCATAGTTTTAAAAAAAAATACAAAATTACACGGTATTTGAACATTTTCCATTTTAATTATTTTCCTAGTTCCTGTTTTTACACAAATGAGTCTTTTAATGTGCTGGCCTAATTAATAAATGCTCAAGTGTGTGCTTTTGCTTTCTAAACTTATGGCTTAAGCCTAGTTCACATTACATGATTTTCACCGTGATTTTGACGTCGCAGAGGATCTTGAAAACCACCTTGGGTCGGAGGTGAGTTGGCAGATCCTCTGCCACGACGAGTCTTCGTGTGTGAACAAGCTCCGTCAGCAAGGACTCGGTGGAGAAATCTTGTGGTGTGCACACACAGGTCGTAACGCAGTTGGCGAGACTCCCGCTGACAGAAACACACGCTGCCATGGTATCAACACTCAAAAGATTACGATAGTCTCCGTGACGCAAAATCAGGGTGAAAATTGTGTAATGTGAACTAGACTTTAAATGGTTTTTGGTTTCAAGTCTTACAGCAGTCAAGTCATGCCAAGTCTCAAGTCCTGATTTTTATGACTTGGCTAAAGCTGCACCAATCAGTAGTGCTGTTTTACAAATGACTATGTTTAATATGAAAGGGTTCATCTATAGTGATGAAGCTAACGGGACAGATATCCCCCTCATGGGTTGGTTGAGAGCAAACAGAGCTAAAAGGTATATGGTGAATGTTACATTTGCTGGTTGTCCTGAAAAAAAGAAAGATGCTGCGTCATGTCTGCTGGTTGTCTAGCCTAAATAAGCAACTTACTGCCAAAAGAAGTCCCATATCAACTCAAAACTGACCTATTATGCTTATTTTCAGGTTCCTAGTTGTATTAAAGGTTTCTAATACAACATGTTTACATGCTTTAATGTTCAAAAAACACTTGATTTTTTCTCATACTGTCCGTGCTGGAACACCTGTAGTCACGCTCTGTCTGACACGCTGTGTTCAGCACCAGTCTCTTTAAGTCTCTCTCCTGAAAAAGCCCAGTCTGCTCTGATTGGTCAGTGTTTCCAGGTCTTCTGTCTCTCAACATCTCTCTGAATAGTGGCAGTTTTTTTAACATGAAAAATTCCGAATTAAAGCTTCTGGTAGATCTGAAATCAGGGAGAAATTATTGACATTAGCAACCAAGATTACATTTCCCTGACATTAGCATGTAGCTACATTTGGCAGTGAATGCAATGTAAGCACTTGGAGTACAATACCTTGAGCTGATGACCATATAAAGACATCTGTCAGGAAATGATGTCATACTGTATTTGAAACTTTGGCCATGTTTGATATGAACCTATGAATGTTTACATGCACACTAATATTCCACTATTTTTCAAAATATGCCAATATGCTGATTTAATGTCAACAACACATTCTGTTTGGATTTCTCACATTAGGCCTTTTTCCAAATGTAGCATTTTTCCAATTAGGACGTGGCGTATATCGATATTTGCTGGGTTGTACGAGAATTCTTTAAACATGTTTACAGCGCATTCAGAATATGTGCCTCACTTGGGGTT